TAATTTACCGTTAGAAATATTTAAAATATTAAATTTTACGCGGTATTAATTAACCCTGGATAATCTCGAAATATTGAAAATTATGTTTCTTCCTTTAGAGAGGTGTTCGAGAAATAGGAGGAGAATGGTAATAACGAGTTTCCTTTCGTCTGAATCCATTTAGCTATCGCGAAACGCTCAATTATATCCCACGGCCACGTATTATTATAATTGTTTATTATAATTGTTTTGCGTCATCAGAACAATCCTTCATATCAACATCGCGTCCTTAAAAAAAAAAAAGAAAAAAAAAAATACACATATATATATATATATAATTGCAAGAAACTATTTATTCTTTTAAATACAATTCCTTATAACGACGAACGAAAAAATAACGACATGCATTTTGACAAAGGATATTTAAAAAAATACCACCACCCTTTGTATTGTAACAATATCAAGAGCAAAAGTTTTACCTTTTTTACCGGTGGACAAAAGGGGGCAGAGGGCAACAATTTACCGACAACGACCGTGAAAATTCAAATTCGGAATCGCCGGTTACTCGCCGGTTGATTGGCCACGCTCGATTCGAGGGCAACGATGTAACGATGAAAATTTGGCAGATTCACTTTCGAAGCGAATTTTCCAATAATTCAATATAATAGCGGGCCGGGGAGGGGGAGGAGGAGGAGGGGGCCGGTGCATGGTAATTGGTGTTAACGAACACGCTCTGTCATTCACGACATCGAGAATGACTGCGGCCGAGTGGAGCGTTTCCGGCTCACCGGCCAACTTCCGCGGCAGAACAATGGGAGCGCTTAACGCACCGGCGAAAGTCGTTAGTCAGTGTTATATTCCGCATAGGTATGCGCGACGTGGCTGCCAAATGCGTTAATCTAATTTTCTGGGCATCGATTAACGCCACACGGCCAACATGGCCGATCCACCGCTGGCCGCAGCGGCGGATAAACGATCACGCTGAATCGTTGGAGGGAGGAATGGGTGGGGGGAGAAAAAAAAAAAAAAAAAAAAAAAAAAAGAAAAAATGGAAATACGCGGCACGAAGATCGTTTTTCCGCCAGAATATCCCGCGCACAACGTTGAACAGAGGAAACTGGCTCGAAACTGTGTGCTCCCCCATTTTGCGATCGGTTTGGAAAAAATGCAAATAAATAAATAAATAAATAAAGCGGTATTTATTTTCGAGGGGTGGATACGAGGAATGGGGGTGTCTTTGGGCTGGAAAAAAAATATTTGAATTTCGGGGATATTTTTTTTTTATCTTCTTTTTTCTTTACGACAAGGTAAAGGAGTTTTATCGAAATATAATTCGATATTTTGAAAAGGGTGGGGGAAGGAATGTTTCTTTCCAATCTTTTCATCAGTTTGATGTATTTAGGATAGGAAGGATACCTTTTCCTCCTTAATGATTTCTTAAAAAGAATCGATTTATATAATCAATAAGAAGAAACATATTTTACTTCTTTCTTACACGTTCTAATAACGATGTAATCTCCGTATACCTAATAAAAATTGAAAAATAACTAAACTAAAACACTTTTTCCCCTGTTTAACATTGATCATGGCTAAATGAAATTAGTTCCCCTTATCCGTTGAAAAATGACTCTCTCACATTCGCGTCGTTATTCATCCAATATATTATTATCGATAAATACCGGTAATATTCCGAAATAATTTTTCTTAACGTTTCCTTATCACCGAGCTGCGAAAAGCGAACAAATGAACAGAACAAACGAGCAGATCGACAATCTATTTCCATTTCTATCAATCAGATTTTTCAGAAACATTTTTAAAATGTTTTTCTCTTAGGAATCGATCTAAACTCTAAACATCTCCAAAAGAAATCATTAAAACGCACCATCTGTCTCCAAGATGGTATATAATTCCTGCCGAATTATCCTCGAATAAACGGGCTTCTTCGAATTCAACGATTGGTACCATTCACACCGGTTTCGTTTATTCGTCGATCTCAGCGCCACGGGGGGGGGGGGAAATGCTGCTGCCTTTTTATTCCCCCAACAAATTATCGTCCTTCGCTTTCTTCACGAAACCCCCCCCCCTCCCCCAACTTTTGAAAATTCGAAACGAGTCCGCGCGTGGGTGATCGATTTTTCGAAGGGAGCGCCACGGGCGGTCGTGGAGGAAGAGAAAGAAGGACAACGTGCCCCGAAATTAGTCGAAATTAGCGAAAATCCGCCGGTACAGTTGCGTGGAAGGTGGATCCAATTAGAGTTTCGTGTTTCGTTCGACCGGTGATGGCCCTCTGGCAATCTCTTGAAATTTCTTTTTAATGGCTCGCTTTTCTTTCTACATAGACTCTCCTCTAGTTCGTGTGTTACGTCACATCCGGCACGATTTACGAGGGAATTAAAACATCGACACGTGTCCTACGGTGTACCGTCGTTAACGGAGTTGACCACGTGCTTGTTTCGAACATTGTCAAGAAGAAGATGTCTTCTCGCTCGTTTGCCCCGTGTTTTTCCTCCTCCACTTGTTCTCGAAAATGAAAATGTTATATATATATATATATATATATATATATACGACACTCGACTGTGCATCGATTCCAATCCGATTGGAACGAGACGAAATTTTTATAGCTCGTCATTTTAATGGCGGAGAGCGATAGACAGACATTTCTCTAATTATCGAAAAATTGGAATCCATTTGTCGGACAAAGGCAACAGATAGTTGTTGATTCAATTTTCCACTTCTCCTCCAACATCATTTCTCTACAGATCCATCGTTAGGCGAAATGAATAACGTGGGATAATGTGGCAAGTTGACTAATCTCCTCTTCGTAAATATTAAAAACTCGATCCTCCAAAACCTTTCCATCCAATTACCATTTCCCCTTGTTCTCTCTCTGTCGAGAAAGAGAGCTGCACCTGTTAGAATCCATCGAAAACCGGGGCTGAAACCTGGTCGAAGGTGGTGGTTAGCGGCGTTTCGTCACCGAAATTGCCGGCATTTCCGAGACATCTCGGCTCGAGGCGAGGAAAATGGAGGGGACGGATAATTCGACAGGGGGAAACCTTCCGGTTAATCCGAGTGGCCGTCCACTTAAGAGGGCTTTTCATGCCGGTAATCGAGAAAATTGGTAAAGTGGAGGCGCGTATTGGAATCAAGGTAAAGGCGCGGTTGACAAGGGATCGTTAATTTATCGATCGAAATAACAGGCTTGTGCGTAACAGGCAAATCGTTTTTCTTTTTTTCTTTTCAAACGCACATCGAAATTATAATTTTACTTGCCGCGAACAATCGCTTTCGAATTTCCAAATTTCATTCATAATTAATCTTTTATCAAAAAAAAAAAAAACATCTCTCGTTTCACTTTCCCCCAATTTCCCCCGATTTCAGTTTACTTTACACAATCTACGCTTACTCTCGACGCTTAGTCATCGCCTCGAACAAAGGGCTACCCTCCCCCTCGACAATGGAGGCCGTCCGGCGTAAAGATCCTCCGAAAGAGAACAAAAGACAGAGAGAGAGAGAAAGAGAGCAGAAATCGAACAAAAAAAAAAAAAAGAAAAAAGAATCCGTGAAAATCGAATTAACCGTGCACGATTACGAATAACAAATCCAGCCGCGTTAATGAGCGTCGCCGGAAGCGTACGCGTGCACGCGAAGAGGGGGAATTCCGGGTAAGAGAGAGAGAGAGAGAGAGAGAGAGAGAGAGAGAGAGAGAGAGAGAGAGAGAGAGCGACACCTGCGGCCGGTTCGCAGCTTCCGGTTCGCCTGTGGGGGCACACACAAGCGGCAAAGGGGACAGAATGCACCGGTGGCGCGGAGCAGCGATAAAATCGTCTAATTGTTTCGCTAAGCGTATGCGAATGTCCAGCGACACGCACCATCGTCGTCTCATGCTTTCGTGTCCAAACGTATTTTTCTCTCCTTTCCACTCTTATTCTCTTCTTTCCTTTTCGTTATTTTATTTATTTATTTATCTATTTATTTTCCTTTTCCGCTCCTCTTCCACTCCCACGACACAAGAGGATCCAAGAGAACAAAGAATCGTAATCGTATCGTCATCGCAATAAGAAGAATGGCGCAGATCGTCGAGCAAACGAAATCGTTCCTTTCCGCGGCTTCCTTCGAGATTAATTCGCTCCGCAGACCGTAATGCGTATTGCAATTAACGTAACTATGTAACCGAGAGTTAACCTCTCTCTTCCTCCCCCCCTCTTCCTCCTCTTTTTTGTACCGCGCCAAGAGTTGCAGAAAACAACAATGCGCCTCTCCTCTTAATGACGATAATTCGTCAGATGATGATAATTGCCGGAGATTATAATATATATATATATATATTCATAGGAGGTTGATACAATATAATTCAAAAAGGGTACGTTTCGATCGTAAATAAGTTATTCTTCTCTTTCCATGCACACGCATGGATGATATATCTTTCAGAACGTGTAACTGAAAGCACGTACGTACGTATGTTTTCTCCATCAGGAAAGACCAAGGTATCCCTTGATTTTTTTACCGATTTAAAATTATGCAATATGCGATAATGCAAAAAGATTATTACTATATGTAGATATACGAGAGTTGTTTTTTCAAGAGATCTAAATATATATATATATATTTATATTTCGCACACGATATTTTCTTTATTATTTCAACGTGTATCTCTTTGAATCATTCTGTATATATATATTTATTGCATATTCCGTATCAAGATCTTTAGATGGAAACTGAGGTACGTATGCGAATTCAGAAGTATAAATGTTTCCCGAGGCGGTTCGACGCCGATTCAACAGCGATAAAAGCGCAACATGTTTCAATCGCGAAACATAGGTGTGTGCGTACGTGAAAGAAACGTCGGTTTAATTACGTTAAATCTGATGTTATTAATCCAAACGTGTTGCGCTAGCAGCCGCGCCTCTTCGAGGGAATAGTAGTAATAATAATAATAATAATAATAATAATAATATTGTAATATTTTCCTGACCGGTAAGAAGAGTGGTTTCAACGCGTTGGTAAAGGTGGAGTCGTGGCGAATAATGGTAGGAAATTGTTGTGGCGTTCTTCTGACCGGACGTTGGAGAGCGAATCGACGCGTTAAGCTTGGCAATAGAACGGCTGAAGCGGTTGAATTTCAGCGTACGTAACACAGAAACGTTGTTATATGTATAGTTATCTCCGTTTGGGATTGGTTGGAAAAAAGAACCGGGCTCGATATCGAATCAATTATCTTGAACGATCTCGAAAAATATCGAGATATATTGAAATAAAAAAGAAATTGTATTAGTGTATATTCTAAGATTAATGGATCCTAGTAATTTGAATTAGTAGTTATGCTATTATTTGCGTTATTTGATAACGCTTAACGCGATGTTGAAAATACACGAAGGACATTGAATTTTATTTTTCAAACGGAACTCCCCTTCATCATCCCCTTTATCATCCCTAAAACGAAACGGAAGAATCTATTGACGATAATTTTATTATCCACGTAGAAAAAGAAAAATCTTACGATCAAACGTAAATAAAATTCCAAGTATCGTGTTAATTGCAGAAACTTTTTCTCAACGCTTCGAAACATTCATTCGAATAATAATTGGATTCAATTAAGATGAGCGTTTCGAATCGACCAATTATCACAGATTATTACAACGTAAAAGATTTTTCCTTTCCTCTCCGACTGCGTCAATCAACGCGCGATAATCAATCCTAGGGATAAATCGCGATTTCCTAGGGATACCCAAATCGAAAGGACGAAAAAAGAAACCGGTCGAAGAAGAAAGGGGAAAGAGAGAGACAGAGAGAGAGAGAGAGACAGAGAGTCACGAAGGGCTCTCGAAACATAATTAGAAGTTGTATCTCCTTCTCGTACGCGATAAAACGGACGGTCATTATTTCTGTGTTTAGATAATCCGGCTTGGATGGACTTTCTCCCATCATGGGATCAGCGTCCTCGTACGGGCGACAACCCGACGACGACCATTTAAATGGCGTCTTTAAGAATCGTCTCTTAAACAGCAATTTAGTGGACAAATTATGGGGAAAAGTTGGAGAGATGCTGGAACGAATAGGTCGAGCGGGATGCGACCGTCTCTTCGCGATAAGAAACGTGATACTTGGTAAGTACTTGATTAATTCACAACACGTGGATTTTTATCCGATTATATTAATTTGGTTAAATGAAACGTTCGTTTCTTCCTTTTTTCTTCCAGACGTTTTTTCGATTAAACGTGAAATATCTCGATGATAGTTTCCAACCAACGACGGCTTGACAACCAATTTTATTATTCCACGCTACATTTGTAATTATCTTCGTTTGCTTCAAACGTCTTATCAACAAAAGAAATATAAACGAGACTCAATGTATCTTCCTTTCTATAAATGATAAATACAAAAAAAAAGAAACTCTATTATCTATCCAAATTTTTTTCCCTCCCCTCTCTCCACACACCAACCTCTTCAACAATCAATTTTTCGAAACGAAAAATTCAAAGATTTCTCGTATCGTTTCGATAGAATTACGATCCCTGCTCGAACGGGTTCTCTCGAAAGCAGCCAGCAGCAGCCTTTCATCGCGAGCAGACGCATCTCAGTTCCCATGCGATACATATATATATATATATAAAGGCGGCGGCGCGTTGTATTGTAAAAATTAAACGACGTTCACGCGATTGATTATCGAAATTACATGTCTTTCGTTCGGGGCGGATTTTCAATGGACGACGACGACGAAGCGGGGAGAGAGAATAGGCACATCTCGATCGCACGTAATTGTACGCGATTCAACACGGATCGATGGGGATGGATCCTCCGCTCCGTGGAGTCCGCTCGAGGGAGGGCTTAATAAGTCGTTTTCGAGAGATAATCCGAGGCGGGTGTGTCATTTCATTTCTTCTTCGTAATTTCGTGCTCGGTCGCGGCGCGGAATGCCGCGTAGATGAACACTCTCGGCCATCGTGCATCGTGCACCGCCTAGATACACCCTCCCCCCCCTCCTTCCCTCCACGTACCCGCGCGAATCATCTCTATTTCTATCCTCCCCCTCCTCTCTTCCCCAGCGATTCTCAGCTCCAACAATTCTCGATAAATTTCAACGCTTTCCTCCGATTCAAACTCGAGGATGAATTATTGCGTCGATTGTGTATTGTTAACAGCCTTCTTTCGATATCAAACGTGTATCTCTTCTCTCTCTCTCGCCAACGAAGGAACAGAATGACATCGAAGGTTTCCAAAGCAAACTTTTTCCCAAAGAGGAATCCTCGAGGTTTGAGAAACGCTGGCCCCCCGTTTTTCCCTCGCCCGGGGCAACGAGATTACACTCATTCAGAGATTTCGGACGGCCCGTCTTTTTTCCCTCCGCCGCTCAATGGGCCGCGGTCTCTCGGCTGGATTTCCGTTTCTGGCCGGGCGACGAAGCGGCGAGTCGCTCGTGCCCGCGGGGAGTCTTTCATTCACCTTCCACACGCGGGAAGGGAACCGGCTAACCCAGGGCGGAAGGGGCGAGAGGGAGGAACCTGCGGCCAGGCACGGTTGCACCACGAAATTAGCTCGTCGTGTACCTGTTTTGTCCATCCTCCGTGCGTGGGACGATTCCACGATTCTTTACCTGGCGCCAACCGATCCTTTTCCGTCCTTGGACGGAGCGCGCGCCTTAATTGACAGGATGCAACTCCGATCGTGAAATTCCGCCTTCGATTTCGAAGAGATCAAGTGTCTTGAACCAATGTCTTGTTTGGGTATCTTCGATCGTAGTAACGTAATACCTAAATTTCTTTTCAAACTTCAAAAAAGAAGGAAAGGAAACGTTGCTTCGATACCTTCAAAGAGAAACCTTTTGAATATATTAATCTTAATATCGTGCGTATATAAACTACTGCTCGAATGAGATATTCTCGCGAATAAACGGTATTCGTCTACGTGAATATTTGAATTTTTTACGATGCGAGATTCTCGTGCGACGTTAATTAATAAAATAATTTTCTTTCGAGAATCGAGTCAATACATGTAATACGATGTTCGAATCGGAAGATGGAAGCGGGAGAGGACAATCCTCCCCGGCGCCTAATTACTCGGTCGTAAAACGAGCAAATTATTACATCCACGCGTTCCCGCGTCCATCGAAGGAACATCCATTACCGGAGATCCCCCGTAATAACATGTCGTCTTGGAGGATGAATCGTGGTCAGTCGGATAAAGCAACGGGTTTCGGTCTCGCGGGGCGAACGGAATAAGAAGGCGAGAAGGGAGGAACGATATCGAGGAGAGGTTGTTCGAGGAAGAGATAAAGCGGCCGAGCTTTCGAGTCGGAAAGGAAAGGAACGCGAGAGAAGATGGGGGGGAGGAGGAGAGGCGGATAGCGCGGAGGAGTGGTGAGGGGGAGGGGAGAGGGGCGATTCAAATTAAATGCCGTTGAAACAAAAAATGATCGAGTAATGACAGCGCGCCGGGCCTTCAGCGCGGTGGCTCCGGTATCTTTGAGGCGAGGTGGAGAGGAAGGGAGGACCGTGTGATTACCCATCGACCAATAGCCGTGCTCAGAGCGGCCATCATGGCCCGTGGAAGACGTGCAATCACGCGGTTCTCCAGCATCTTCCACGGCGGCCGCGGGATGGGATGGGACGGGATATTTTTCGTCTCTCCGTGTACGGCACGCGTGAATCTTCTTCGATCTGGCTAACCAACAATGTATCACCCGTGCCTCCGGAACGATAATACTTGGCCTCGAGAGATAATGGAGAAACGGAACGATTCGAAATTATAAATTGGAAATCGTTCCGAGTTTAAAACTCTCTCTCTCTCTCTCTCTCTCTCTCTCTCTCTCTCTCTCTCTCTCTCTCTATCTTTATCTCTTTGTCTGGAGAACGATTGCTTGCTTCGAAGAGAGAGAAAGAGAGAGGATGGAGGAGACGAAACGAGATACGAAGTTTTTTTTGAAGAAGAAAATAGGATAACACGGGAATGCAAAATGTTCGAACGCGTTAATATAAAGATAATCGCCGTTTTCTAAATCTAGAAAATATTTTAAAAGCGTTAATTTCTATAATAATGATCGACGAAAGGAACGAATTTTCTTTCGTGACAAACAAAAAAGTGTTGCATGGCGATTTATAATCGGTGTACCGTTGCGTCACGGTAAGGATAAACTAGGCCTCGAGAAGGGGACGACACGTTTTGGTAAAGGTGTAACACAGTTGCGCAAAAGCAAAACTAGATAATGGCCGCTTTCACGTACCGTAGCCTCGCACGGCGGTTCGGCGAACGTATGTAATTTAACAAGTACGCCTTATCCGACAGCCATCATTGATGAGCAGTGAGCCCTATAACGTTAATTATTTTCACGGTTCTCAAACTCGTCTTTTTAAAAAACCCTCTCTAACAGGCAACGCTGGTTCATAGAAATTGGTTCGAGGTTGCTCGGTAATTAGCCTTGCCTCCAAAGAGAAGCCATTGCTCTCAAAACTACTTCTGCTTACGGAGAGAAAAAGGAAAAGAAAAATTTAATTTCATCGTATAATATAATATCATAACGATATCAAACGTTACGAAATTACGGGCACGCATACACACGATATATAACATATCGTAACATCTCGACGACGTAGCAAAGTCACAGAGATCGAAACAACACCCGCAATTAAACTCGACTCGATGAAAACACGCGGTAGCGTCTCAATCGGGAACAATTAAGTGTAATGAATTCCAAAGGTACGAGCATGAAACTCGCGTATTTGCATGATACATTGCCGTGGCACGATGCGCGTCGACTGAGAACCGGCAATTTATGACCGCATATTTTTCTTTTAACGATAACGCTTAAGCTCCTCTGTGTAATTGCATCCTGTACGCTTAAGCCCTGTCCACACACGCGGATCAGCTGTTCGTCCAAGCGGCGGCCATATTGCGATGCGCGCGCAACGCGTTTCAAACCCTCGGTCCTTCTCTCTTAACCTCCCGTAAACTCTCCTTGGTCCCCTCCTTGTTCCCTTTAACGCGATACCCTTCTTTTTTCTTTCTTCTTTTTTCTTTCCCCTCCCCCCACTATCTACGAATGATCGGCCGACGATTTCACTCGGCTCTCGTGTGAAACGCGGATAATGACGAGCAACCGTCGAAGGCAGGAATAGCCGCCGCTTAATAACTCGTTAATTATCGTTTTAGGAAATCCGCGCGCACATCCAATTACTTTACGTAACTCCCGCGCCTTCATTTCTCCGTTCTGGTCGCGGTAATTGGTTTAATTGCGTTTCGCAAACGGGAGAGGGAAAAGAGAGAGAGAGAGAGAGAGAGAGAGAGGGAGGGAGAGAGAAGGAAATCTGCTTGAACAGATCAGAGAGGACAAGAAGAAAGAGGACTTTTATCGCTAGATTTCCATTCTTTGGATATTTAAAGAGAAAAGTATGTAACAGAAGATTGCTTTTTCGATTTCCTCGGATGATTTTCTCGATCGATATCGACGAGTGGATATATCGATCGCGCTCGCACACTTCCGGTGAGCGTGTGATTCGCTAAAAATTCGTTTTGCCCGCGATTAATTACGAATGGAGCAATGCGTTCGTAGGAAAAAAACTTTCTCCTTTGATTTCTCCTCGATAAAAATGGAAATGGAATCGCTAATTATCGCGTGTTGTAACGAAAAAAATTAGTAGAATGGCGAGGCGAATTTTTTGAAAGGCGAACGTTGTGGAAATATCAGAGTTTTTGTTTATCTATAATTAGATTATTTCTAGGTTTCCGCTTCTGTTTTTTAATTGTTAAAAATTGTAAAAAAGAACAAAAGTTCTTAAATAACGACCCAATGCTACAAAGATACTCTACTCGATAAGTAAATTTATTCAATAAAGAAATATTATAGATATTAAATTTCCATTTTGTAGCATCAGGTCAACAATTATTTTGATTGTACTCTAAAACAAAAGAATATAAATCAATCGAATTAATTCGAAGCAACGAACGAAGTTAACCTAATAATTATTATAAGAAATTTCGTTTAATTCAACGTAACATAATAACACGAGAAAATCAGATCGAAAACTGTTTCAGTTCCAAACGTGAATAGATGAATCGAATTGATAAGTTGATTACTCGAATCAACAACGAAAATTAAAATGAAATTATTCGAACAAATACCGTAAAAAAGTGTAGAAATTTCGATCCAAACATAACATCTAAAATAGAATAACACGAGAAATCAGATCGAAAACTATTTCCACTGTTCCAAACGAGAACAGATCGAATTGATAACTATTACTCGAAACAATAACGAAAATTAGAACGAAATTAATCGAACATACATTATAACCTAAAACAACAACGCGAGAAAAC